TCTCAGTTCTTCAATCTGTAAAATTGAATAATGGTAGATTCCTAGCCCATAAGATCATTAAAAGAATTGAGGAGACAACACATCTGCAACAGGTAAAATAGTAGCTGGCAAAAAAATATTAGGACTATTAAAAATATCAGAGATTTTTAAAAAGGCTTCTCAAAAGGAATATCCAAGAACAGGAACTTAGATAATGAGAAGGCTGAAATAGATCTATTCTGTCCACTTTTGAGRAATTCCACATTGAAATCTAAAGTGATTTCTTGGACATGCCAAACTTCAACATTCAACTTTTCACTTATAAGTTCATTTTCCCTAGTTTTCTTCTTATCTTGTCACTTGTGTGATTTTCTCTTAAATCTGGAAACTTGTATCTCACCCTATGTAATATCACCTGGATTCCAAAGAGAGAGCCTTGTCCTTTGGGGAAATCACATGGCGGGGCTCCAATTTTAGCTTTTCTACCCTTGATTATAAAAATTGATAAAGACATTTTACCCTGCAAACTTCTATTTCCTTCCCTAGAAAGCAAAAGACTTAAATTATCTTTGTGGTTCCTTCCAGCTTTAAAATGTAATATCTTGGAACTTATTTATATATTCTCCAACAGCATTGATAAAACAATCAATCTTACTGGACCACCATATACAGCTTTCTTCAAAGCTGCTCTCTTTGAATATATTTAACTTAGTTATCCAACTCCTATTACTTTTTATTTCACCCACAAGTCCAAGCAATGTCACCAATACTTTGTTGAAGTCGTGGTCCTCCTAGCTACAATTCTTGCCTAAATGGTTCAATGAATGTTGAAAAGAAGTCTTTCTGAAAGAATTCACTCTCAGTGAACCCATGCTGACTCCTAAAAATTGCCTGATTGATTTCTAAGTGTTTATATGCTCTCTCTTAGAAAATTCAGTGCTAGGAAAACATATCATGCTTGTTGACTTACACTTATTCTTGATTTATATTTTCTTAGTTTTCCCTTCTTCACCCCCTTTTATCCTCAGTCATCCCATCATTGATTTCTCAATGACTGTTTATAATGATTCCATGATTTAACCTAAAATTTCTTCCAAAACTCCTTGCTAAAAACAAACACAATATGATTAGGAACTTTTCTTGTGGTTTTTCTCCTACCTTAATGTGAGTTAGCCTTTTCATATTATTTATGTTACTATTTCTATGTTAGATTCATCCTTAATGGGGAGAATGAGAAAGAAAGAGGGTCTGAACAGTGACTTTCTTTTACTGATATAGAATCAACTTTCCTATCCATTAGTTCTATTTCTTCATACACATCTTCTTCTGAAACATAATTTCAAAATCTAATTACAACAACAACAAAAAATTTGTTCCATTTCCACTTTCTATGCTTTTGTGCCTCTCTTTCTCACAGGTTCATGCTGGTCTTTTATATTGTGTATGGGGATGACCCCAACATATCTACCATCTCCAGTCACTAGTTGTTTTCACAATCAAATGTCCCAGTGCAAGCCAACAACCCAGCAGATTTTTTGGAGTTCTTATCCTCTATGTCTTGTTAAAACTATTCTGTATTATATGAATTATTTTTTAAATCTTCCTCTCTCTTATGCTATATTCGTTTTTAGAATCTGTGTCTATATGAAGCATATCTCTTCTTTTAAAATGTTTTTTTTCTAAAACAGCTATAACTAGATCCTGGTTTTCCTTCCTCCTCTCCTACTAATAATAACATGTTGGGTAACTTTCTTTCAAGATTTCACATTACTTCCCTATCATAAAATGATTCTTCCTTTACCATTCAAAGTAATGTCCAGTGTGTAGGAGTTTCCCTTACTTCTTCATGCTTTCTCAAAGAAACCATATGGACAGTAAGCAAGTTATGAATGTTTTAAATACTCAACTTTTAGACAAATAGAACAGAGGACTCAGCTGACAACTACCTGAACACCCCCTCCCAAACCTAATTTAAAATTATACATTAAAAAGAAAGCTCCTACTAATAGCAGTTAAGCAATTTATGGTATGTATCATGACATTGCTCTCCTGTTATTCCCACCTGCCTGTCTTTCTGGGCTTTAAGTCTCAGGTTATGGTCACACAGTATAGGGACGAGAAAAAATTGTAAAGGGGTGACTATGGTACTTGAAGTCAAAAGACTTGGTTTTACATCTTAATCTGCTTTCATATTCTAGCCAAACAACTATGAACATGTTTCCTCACCTTGTAGAACTCAGTTTTTACATATTAAAATAGAGATAATAATATCCACCACAAAGGGATGTTATAAATATCAAAGAAGACAATATATACACATACTCAATACATTGGTAACTGGTTTTACAACAGAACAAACACATTTTTAAAATGTACTAAAGAACTATGAACATTGTTCTTCTCTAGAAATTAGGTTGGTATGGGTGAAGGAGGGGAAGGAAGGAAAGAAAAGAGATTAATGATCTACTGCCTTCTGCAGTATTTATTTTTAAATTAATCATGTTTATTCTTATAATCTAAAGAAATTAATTTTAAAAGGAACAACTCACTATGATAAAAGTAGTTCTATGCTGCTTTGCTTGATTATTTATTTGTATTAAATGTATTTTTAAAGTAAGTCTGAATATCATAACTTTGAACTATATTATTGACCCATGCTATTCATATAGGTGATCCAATTGAGATTATACATATTTATTAGAGTTCCATCTTAATGTTTCAATTCACCAAACACGCCTTCTTTTCCTAGAGTTGGTTGTAGTCTCCTCATTAAACACACATGCATAAAGTTATATTTAACTTTCCCAGTGATGGCAATAATTGCTGTTTTATTCTAGCCCACAGTCTTCCTATATAGGCTTCAATTCATTGTGCACTTTTCAATGATGTCATTATATCTCAAGTTCATTGTCAAACTCATTTTCCTGTGTAGTCTTCCTTGATTGTGAATTGTTCTTAGAAGTCCCAGAGAAGTAGACATGAAGCCATAGTATTCTAGCAGTCAAAAGACAAGAACATGTTTTCTTTATCAACTTCATTACTCCAGACTTTCTGGGAGAAGAAAGTTCCAGCCATTTAGAATCTTTTCACTGTGGTTCCTACCTGTCAGAAAATAATGTCTCTGTGTATTTTATATTCTGTCTCCCTAAAACGTTCAGTTCCTGATGAATATACTTCAAGATGAATAAAGTACCTGTATTGCATTAAGAGAGATGGTCTCTCCAGTGCTACCAAGAGAGTCCATAATCAAGTCAAATCTCTGCACAGATAGGGCTTTATCACCAAGCCTGCCAAAGTGGCACATTAATCCAATGGCAGCCAGGTACTCATTCTAGAATAAATGTTAGTACTGTCTCAGTGCCACCTGCCACTTCAATCAGGCTGAGTAAACAAGTAATACTACTGTTTTCAAATGAGTCAGTGTAGGTCATTTTTTTCCCCAGATTGTAAGAAAAGAATAAATACATGGCATACTAGGTTTCGTCCACCCATTCACCTCCATTCTCCCAAATTTTCCCATATTCTGAAATGCCAAATGCAAAAAAAAAATTTTTGAATTCTAATTTTTCATTATGTTGTGTGTCAAGCCCTCGATTGTCTGGGTATTCAATCTGTGGTTAAGTAAGAAATACCAGGATTTGAAAAGATACGGAAAACATTTTGATAGCTCTGGGCTATATCAAGTGTTAGTTTTAATAGCAGGCCAGATCTTCAATAACATGCTGTGTAGCTATGTATGAACTTGGTTGCTGGTTTCCTTTGTCACATGAAATGATGATTAATCAGGACTCAGATTTCAGTTGTTTTATGTTGCTTGTGCTCTTTGCTAACAGCTGCCTATTTCAAGCTGTGCTCCCTACATGTCAAATATAAATGTGAAACCACAATTTCCAGAAGGAAAATTTCAAAGCACTCATTTCAATGCACTTAAAGTACATTAAAATATTCAAGTTGTTTCTGATTAACGTCCACTTAGAATATTATATAATTTAACTAAAGTCAGTATAGAAACAAAAAGTTTTCAGAAGACTGGGAGAATAAAAACACATTATTATTTTGTATTCGTAACTACATATTTCTATAAATGCTCTATGCAATCCTCCTCATTAAACTAGTGTCACTTTCCTTTTCATTTTTACAATTAATACATAAAAATACTGTTGACAGCTGATTTTTAAGATACTTAAATTTTGATTCAGAATAAACTTTAAACATTTTAAAGAAGGGGGTTCATTTTTGACAATGTCCTCAATGCTTCTTTGATTTATAATTTTAAAAATACTGCAAGAATAGCATATTTGTATGTTTTCCCTTCACATAGTCCAAACGGAATTAATTTTTAAGAAAATGAAAACAGAAGAAGTTGGTCAAGTTTTTCAAAAGTTTAGAACAGTGTATGCCTAAGTTTTTGAGTGGACCAAATAGAATTTCAGTAGAATTGATTTTTTTATTTTGCTTAACCTAGATAATAAATGTCTAATTTGGAATGTCCATGTGGCACATAGTTCCCAAATTAAACTCTTTCAAAGTCTGCCTTTTTTAGCAAAAGAGGGGGAAGTGAGAATTAAACACCCTGGCTCTTTCTATACAACTGCAGCCAAGTTGTCTAAAAACTGAATTTGGCCAATTCACTGTAGTTCATTGTTTGAGCTCTAGCAGGACCCCAGAAACTTATAACAACCACACTGAGGGCATCTGAACAGATTTTCCCAGTCTAGGGTTTACCATAGTCTAGAAAATTCTACCAGGTGGTGCCCTTCTCATTTAGCACTATGCACTTTCCCAGAGCAAACACTACCTGCTTTGGATCACCTTCCTAAATATCCAAGTAGAGTATCCAGGGAAGGGTCTGATATACTCTCAAGAACTGACAAAAAAAAAAAAAAAAAAAAAAAAGTGTGCTGATTTAGAGATGAAAAGGTACTGGTCAGAGGTAAGGCAGGTGTTATCAGTTTTCATGTTCATTCATTTAATTTCCTCGAAGTTTTAAAGAAAGAACTCCCTCTCTTTTCTTCTCCCAGGTGGCAAACCTTCTGAGGCTCTTCCAGATCCCTCAGATAAGCTATGCGTCCACCAGTGCCAAACTCAGCGACAAATCGCGCTATGATTACTTTGCCAGGACCGTGCCCCCCGACTTCTACCAAGCCAAAGCCATGGCCGAGATCTTGCGCTTCTTCAACTGGACCTACGTGTCTACTGTGGCCTCTGAGGGCGACTACGGAGAGACTGGGATTGAGGCCTTTGAGCAAGAAGCCCGCCTGCGCAATATCTGCATCGCGACCTCAGAGAAGGTGGGCCGCTCCAACATCCGCAAGTCCTACGACAGTGTGATACGCGAGCTGCTGCAGAAGCCCAATGCGCGAGTGGTGGTCCTCTTCATGCGCAGTGACGATTCACGCGAGCTCATCGCCGCAGCCAGCCGCATCAATGCTTCCTTCACCTGGGTAGCCAGCGATGGCTGGGGCGCACAGGAAAGCATTGTCAAAGGCAGCGAGCATGTGGCATATGGTGCCATCACTCTGGAGTTGGCCTCGCATCCTGTCCGCCAGTTCGACCGCTATTTCCAGAGCCTCAACCCTTACAACAATCATCGCAATCCCTGGTTTCGGGACTTCTGGGAACAGAAGTTCCAGTGTAGCCTCCAGAACAAGAGAAACCACAGGCGGGTTTGCGACAAGCACCTGGCCATTGACAGTAGCAACTATGAGCAAGAATCCAAGATCATGTTTGTGGTGAATGCTGTCTATGCCATGGCCCATGCCCTGCACAAAATGCAGCGCACCCTCTGTCCTAACACTACCAAGCTCTGCGATGCAATGAAGATCCTGGATGGAAAGAAGCTGTACAAGGATTACTTGCTGAAAATCAATTTCACAGGTAAGCAAGGCGCCTTTAATCATCTTCTGTGGTGCAAACAGGTGGAATCATACAGGAACTGAATACCTCTGTCCCCAACCAGAAATCCTTGTTTCAGAGCCACAAAAGTTTAAACTGTTGAACATATATTCAAGGTACAATAAGAAGGCTTTTTGAGGTTTTTACTTATTTTTAAGTAATCTTAGTTGATTTAGTATATGAGAATCAAAGGCCTCCTAGGCTGATGGCCCCACTGTGGTAGCTACCCAGATGTGGGCCATGCTACATTTGCTCTTTCTCATTGTTAGCTGCAGGATATGACACATATGACATGGCCATTTAATCTCCTTTAACAAAACTGGCAACTGTCTAAGGAATATGAACTTCCAAACCTTCCTTGTGGGAGATTGAGCAAAAGAATCTCATAACTTTCACAGTGGGTGAGAGAGAAAAAAAGTCACTTTTCCCAGTGCTTAATTAAGGGCAAAACTGAAAAGATACCCAGACATTGTAGTTTATTTCTTCTGTTATACAGAAAACTTTTCCTATGGGTTTTAAGAGTTGTGGTTTTTCTTGAATTATGGTGTTCAGTGAAACTTTTTCTGAGAATCTTAATATATATAATCAAATTGAAGATTAATGGAAGTCATTTTGATCAGTAGTGACCATGCAAAGTATATTCTAAGATATTTTTGCTGCCTCTTCATTTACCTCTAAATATGTCTGAATATGTCTAAATATAGTCATTTGTTTTGTTATCTATCTATCTATCTATCTATTTATACTGGGGATTGAACACAGGGGTGCTTTGCCACTGGGATACATCCCCAGACCTTTTTACTTTTTAAGACAGGGTCTTGCTAAGTTGTTTGGCCTCACTAAATTGCTGAGGCTGGCCTTGAACTTGTAATCCTCCAGCTTTAGCTTCCCAAATTGCTGAGATTACAGGCATACACTACTCTACCCAGCTGTATTTTATTTTAATGCATCTTTAACATATAAAAGAAAAATCTTTAGGTTTGCATTCTGTACTAAGACATCATTTCATTAAGGGACTAGTTCTGGGAACTCAGGCTTAATGCAAATCATAAAATGGTAATTAATATTAGACACAAACAATTTTGATGCCAAAACATTACAATGATACAATACTTGCATTTGCCTAAATTGCTAATAATCTTTCATGCTTTAGGGCATCATTCAAGACTACATAGTCTTTATCAATTTATTTATCATCTAAGACCTGAAAATTTATATACATATATGTTACTATCATTGAAGCAACTGGAAGGTGTCACATCCATATTAAAGGTGATGCCTCAGAAGTACAGTGGTCTGGGCTGGGGTTGTGGCCCTGCAGTAGAGTGCTTGCCTAGCATATGTGAGGTGCTGGGTTTAATCCTCAGCACCACATAAAAATAAATAAATAAAATAAAGGTATTATGTCCAACTACAACTAAAAATACAAAAATTAAAAAAATAAAGAAGTACAGTGGTCTGCAAAAATTGCTGGCAGTAGGCAAGAGAAGTCTGTGAACATTAGCTCCTATTCTGGAATTTTCACCCACAGGCAGCCTTGAAAATAAGCACAAATAATGCCATCATGCATTTTTTTCTTCACTCTCCCCAAAGGGAGACAAAAGCAATACAAATCCATACTGTCACTCTTCCCTCTTATTTATCTGATAGAAATAACCTCTTACCATTAGAATTATTATTAAAAGTGGTCATAAATTTTTGCACTCTGCATTCCCACATGTGTATTGATTCATATAGAAACAATAACATATATACACATATAAATATAAATAGTACTAAATAAACATTCATCTCAAAATTCCAGATCCCTTCTGATTGACATATCCAGAAGATAAATGAATCATAGAGTCATTAAAACTAAATGAACTCTGGGTTATCCAAAATTAGCATCTACAATGCATTTAATTCTTAAGATAATTCAATACATAACACCTTCAAACTACTCTTGGGATAATTATTTATCTTTATTCACCACATTTATTAATTAACTTTGTTTTTCTAGTTTTCTCATTAATCCTTTGATGAAAATATACAAATATATCCACTTATCAACACGAAAGCTCAAGATTTCAGAGAGCCTTTGCAAGGTGATTTATGTAACCAAAACATTTTCCTTCATCTGACTGCTTGGATTTTAAAAGCCAAAGAAAAGTGAAGAAATAATGCCATTATTAAGATAAATGAAACAAAAGTATCTTCTTTTTTGTCTCTTTTGTTCAATTACTAGCTCTTGTTCAACAACTCAGTTTGGCTATGCATACCTGATTACAAAGTGCTGCTTTAACCTTCTCAATTTGCCTTACATTACCAGTCCCTCTCCATCTCTGAAGAGAGCAGCAAGATGAAAAGCAGGTTTAAACTATAGAAAATAGAGGAAATGTATATTGGCCACAAGGTGAATATGCTTAGCAATGAGAATTAGACAAGATGATGCATAACTAATGGGAGGGTACCAAGATATTAAATTAGCTAAGTAGTACATTTTTTTAAAAGATGAAGATTGACTGTAAGAACCTAGCACTTTACTAGGAGGTACATAAATAGAAGAGAATGGAGATTATAGAATGACAATTTGAGTTCATAGTAACCTGTATATGACTAAATATATACATATTTTTAAATCTAGATATAGATTAAAGATTATAAGCATAAATGTCATATTACTGATTTACGATTGAAAAGGTATCAAGTTTTTTTTTTCTTTGTCAGCTATTGCAAAACAGGTGCTTGGCATTTTTTTATGATATATTATCTCTATTTTTCTAATTTGAATATTGATGCAATGGACTAGGCACATAGCAAACACTTAGCAGACACTAAATCTGCTCAGTTGGGCCAAAAAATAAGTTCTTTCCAAATGCATTTACTCCAAGATTCTTCTGAAAAGAGACAGTGGTAACCAATTCTCTAATAACTCTCACCTTTACAGGATGAAAAAGCTAGGCCTCCTGAGTATTTTAACCACAGAGTTTAAAATATTCTCTGATGTTTGGTGCTTTCTTACTAGGGAATACAAGCATTGGTCAACATGAGTTTTGTTTAAAGTTAACACAGTTTAAATATTCCTTTTGCAAAATAGATTTTGAAGAGCTATGCCTTATTAAATTTCTTCTAAATAGTGAGCTTTCTGACATGGGTTGGATCCCATGTATATCCCACATTCACCCTTCTTTCCACTGAAACTACATGCAGTTCCCCCAGATATGTTATGCCTTTGTTTTGCCTTTGTACCATCTGAACGTATCAGTTCTTCCACCTAGAACACTCTCGCCCTGCCCCCATCTGCCGTATCTGCCTCTATTCCTATGTGTCTTCAATAGTCAACTTACTTGATATTTGCTAAGGAAACTTAACTTGAACTTCTAAACTGAATTAAGTACCCCTCCTCATTTTCCCGCATTGTTCTGGCATTTTGCTTTCCCTCATACCTTCCATCCAATCTGCCAAAATATCCTGTTGGCTCCACCTTCAACATGGATCCAGGATCTGATCGCTTCTCATCATCGCAATGGCTACGACCACCACCATCGTCCCAGCCACCAACACCTCTAGTCTACATTCGGTATTATCCTTCCAATTAAGCCTACCTCCAACCAGCCTCCACAATCTATTCTCTACCTGCCAGCCAGAATGCCCTTTAAAAATGTAAGGCACAGCAAGTCTCTCCTGTGCTCACACCCTCCAAGGACTTCTCGGGCTTCACATGATCCATCAGGCCTGAGAGGCCCTGCGGGACCTGCCCCCGCCCCTCAGCTCTGTTGGTGTCCCTCAAGCTCCCTCTTTCTCACTGCACACCATCAAGCACTGTTTGTACCCCAGGGCTTTTTTTTTTTTTTTTTTTTTTCAGCCAGTTATCTGACTATAGTGCTCTTCCCCACATATCCCTGGGCTAATCAGCTCCCTTGCTTGCCTCATGTCTTCATTTATATATTACCTCCTCTGCCGGAAAACCCCAGGGCTTCCCTCACACCCTGACGCCCACCACAGTTGCCCCCTTTTTCCTTTAACCTGCTCTTCTTTCTTTTGATCTCATGGTTTTTTCATCTCCTGCTACACACAYCATTTATTACTTTAGTGTTTATTCTTTATTGTTTGATCCTCACACTAGCATTTTGGCTTCAGGAAAACAGAAGTCATTACTGATTTTGTTCACTCGTGTGTTCCCAACGTAATAGGTGCTCAGTAAATATTTATTTACTATGAACTGCATTTCGCAACCAAACTCTTTTGCCAGAACTGTGAGCTCTTCCAAGGGACAGAACATATATATCATCTCTTATTTCAAATACCTAACAGTTTCGGGTATAGAAGAGGCATTATATAAATGTTTACTGAAGGAACGAGGAATGAAAAAAAAATCAATCAACAGATTTATAAGGTGATKCTTTCATGAAAATTTAATGTATATGTTTTATTTATTAACAAGTGAATTTCAAGAAAGAAAATATGACTTCTGAAATGGCTTGCTTTTACCTAAGCACTCTCCTTCAGTTATGTTCTATCATTTCCTTTGAGATAAATGTAAAACCAAATACCATTAGAGCTTGAAGATATTCATCACCATCTTGTAGAGGAAACTCCYCAAAATGAAACCCATTTTCCTATGGTCATACATCTGTTTAGTGGCAGGGCCATGATTGAAATCTAGTTTACTAAATCTAGTGTTGCTTTTAGACATACACAAAGGCTCTGGGGATAGGATGTCTTTGATGTCAAACACTGAACTGAACACAACTTCTGGCACATACTAGATATTAAGGAAATGCTTMTCAAAAGGTTTAAGATATGCTTCTTTTTGTGTTCCATTTTAAAATCCCTTCAATGCTCCTGGGCCACTTGCTCAACTAATTGGAGAAAAGTGGTGTATCCAACACTTGAACTTTGGAAGGTGGAACTTAAATCCCAAACCTTAGAATATGAAGTTTGAAAGCAAATTTTTAATTAAATAAATTTTCTATGTGAAAGAGTCATGGTTTCCCAAC